CTGGAAAAAAATCACTGAGTCTTAAAAAGTTGAAAATACACAAATGCCTATATTTCTTTAGAAAAAAATTAATATATTTTATCAACTAATCAGATGAATGTTGATTTCAAGAACATTTTATATGCATAGATTAATGGAAAAGTAAAAAGAGAAGTACTGATAGAAGAACTAGAAAGTTTTATAAACACGAAGCATTCTATTAATATAACTAATAACTAAATTTCTTCCTTTGTGGAATTTTTTCATTTTTACTAAAAAGAAAGTGAATACACTGAAGACTACTGTATTAGATAACTATTATAGGGACTATTATAGTATACCAATATTTCAGCAACATACTTAAAGTCACTCTTTATATCCATCAGGCGAAAATGTGGAAATATGAACTAGATCAGGCACTATTAACCAGGGATCCATGAATGGAATTCAGGGAAGGTTTCATGAACATGAATGGGAAAAAATTTTTATATTTGTTTTCTTTAACCACTGCTGACATTTAGAATTTCCTTCAACTAAAAATGTAAGCAACAAACCATTGTACCTGTAACCTCACTGCCTACAAAAATCATACATCCTTTTAGTTTTAATTCATGACATAGATATTGAAGGTATCTTGAAATATCATTTACACTTCTCACTACTACAAATTTATGGTAGTTATGATCTACTGTTAATTGTGCTATTTTAACCTGTAAATAAAGAAAAGCAGATATATTACTACAATCTCAAATTTGGGTTTTTAAAAAAATATTTGGAAACTGCTTTAATATAATTTATTATTTGTAATTCTATATAGTTTATTTTGTTAATCTAAAACCATTATTTTGAGAAGGAAGCCCTGGGCTTCACCTAACTGCCAAAGGTATCCATGACACAAAAAGGGTTGTAAGAACCTCTGAACATTTAAGCAAATCCACTACCAGTTTAATACCGAATTACCCAAAAAATGATACCCATTTATTCAGTGCCCCAAAGAAAAGGCTCAAACACACAACAAAAGATGAAACATTAACCAATCTAGCAAGATGAATTTTAATAAAGATTAAGACTTGAACTTAAACTAAAACACTTAACTACATTCCTAAACCCTGGTAATACAGATTAATAGGTAGTTAGACCTATTCCTTGAGTAAAAGCAACAAAAAAATGTTGACTATAAAACAACAACAAACAAATGACAACAAAAAATTTACTTAAAAATATTGAAAGCTGACAAGATAGTAAAGAGTTACCAAGCCAAAAATCAAATTGAAGGTGTAAGCTAATAGACTTAGGTGGAGTCCAGAAAAACTGTATCTTGAAAACATTTTCTATATCTGGTAAACTTAAGAATTCCATCTCATAGCCTCTCAAAGCACAGGGAATAGAAGACAAAGATGGAAAGTCTAGTGGGAATTCTCCTCACAAATCTGATATCTTAAAGGGCACCTACTCAAAGTAAGAATAATCTAAAAGTTCAATCTTCCTCTCCCTAAAACATACCGGCAGGGGTAGGCAAAGAACAGAAAAGTTCTGGAAAACATTAAGAGAAAAGAGGAATACCTCTGTGAACCATAACTATGATATACTCCTCAAGTAGGTATGTAGCCCAATAATTCTTTACCAGTCCGGAGTATCTCAAGCAATTAATTTAGTTAGAGCAGTGCTACTAACATATCTGAGATGTCTGGCAGAAGAAATATAATTCTTCCCTGAATGAGAGCCATGTATTCTATGCTTCAGAGAATTCTCCCAAATAATTTTCCAAGGAAAATGAGCTGCTTGCAATTAAAAATGATTAAGTACGAAAAGACACAAGTTATCACACATAAGAAACAACAAAAACAAAAGATAGAAGATGATAGGAGAAAGAGAACCATGAAAGTCTCTGTATAATAGGCTATCTGAAGAGAGGATTACCTGATGAAACAGAATATAAAATTCTATACTTATGATGTTTTAAAAAATAGAAGACAAGTTTAAAGATATCCAAGGGAAACACAAAATTAAAAAAGAAAAACAGCCGGGCTCGGTGGCTCAGCCTGTAATCACCTGGGAGGCTGAGGTGAGTGGATTGCCTGAGCCTGCGGGTTCGAGACCCACCTGGGCAGCGAGACCTCATCTCTACAATAAATCAAAAAATCAGCCGGGCGTGGTAGCGCATGCTTGTAATTCCGGCTACTCAGAAGGCTGAGGCGTAAGGATCGCCGGAGCCCAGCAGGCGAGGCTGCGGTGGCCGGGAGCAACCACTGCACTCCGGTCTGGGCGACTGAGTGAGACCACCAACTCAAAAAAGAAAAGAAAAGAAAAGAAAAACAATGCAGATTTTAAATACAGCAAAACAATTACCAAAGTGAAAAATATAATAATTGAAATTAAACTTAATGAAGAGATTTAACAGAATATTGAATACAGCTAAAGAAGGACTAAGTAAATTACAAAACAAATTAGAAAAATTTACTCAGCATGCAACAAAAAAGAAGAAACAGATGGAAAGAGAGATACAGAAATTAAGGGGGAATAAAAGACAGGGTTTAAAAAAAAAAAAAGACTAAAATGCATTTAGCCAGAGTTCCAGAAGAAAATATATCTGAATAGTTAGTGCCTAAGAATTTTCCAGATAGATTTTCTAGAATCCATTAAAGAAGATATCAGTCCTCAGATGCATGAAACACAATGAATCTCAAACAGGATATATAAAGCAAATCCACAGCTGGACACATCATCTTGAAACAACAGAGTACAAAGTTAAAAAGATCTCAAATGTAAAAGATAAAGGACAGATAATCTACAAAGAAGCAACAGACACATCGATACTTAAATTCTCACCATCAGTAATGGAAGACCATCTTTAGAGAATGGTCTCTTCAATGTGTCGAAGAGAAAAATGTCAACCTTTAATTCTACATAGAGTAAAACTACCTTTAAAAACTTAAGGAAAAAATTTTAGACCAAAATTCAACAAAAAGTTGGCTACCAGCAGACTCTCACAAGAAAAAATTTACAAATGAACTTTCAACAGAAACAGAATAAAATCAGATAAAAGGTGTAAGGTGGAAGTAGAAATAAAGAGAAAAGAAGACAGTAAATATATAGGTAATTCTAAACTAACATTAGCTAGACAAATAAAATGTTCAATAGAGTTTTTAAAAAGTAAAACAAAACGATAATAATAGCATGCAAGTCAGGGAGATAGTAAATAAAGTTGAAGTGTACTGAAGTCCATATAATGACTTGGAGAATACAAAAATTGTTATTAAAACTATACTTTGGCAAAAATGTATATTGTAGTTTCTAAAATAAAAAGTGAATGCTTTTTATTAGAGGGGGATAGAAAAAATCCGGGCTCAGTGGCTCAGCCTGTAATCCCGCACCTTTGGGAGGCTGAGGTGAGTGAACTGGTTCGAGGCCTACCTGGGCAACTTGGCGAGACCTCATCTCTACAATAAAATCAGAAAAATTAGCTGGGCATGGTAGTGCGCACCTGTAGTTCCAGCTACTTGGAAGGCTGAGGCAGAAGGATCGCCGGAGTCCAGCAGGTCGAGGTTACGCAGGCTGGGAGCAGCCACTGCACCCCAGTCTGGGCGACAGAGCAAGTCTCCAACTCAAAAAAAAATTTTTTAAATCCTAGAAATTATTCAAAGAAAGCCAAGAAAAATAAAACAAGAAAGCCAAATTCAAAAGCACAAATAAAACATTAGATATAAGCCTATGTAAATAGGAAACACAAATAAAAAATAAAGACTAAAAATCTGGATTAAAAAATATTGCCGGGCTTGGTGGTTCAGCCTGTAATCCAGCGTTTTGGGAGGCTGAGGTGAGTGGATTGCCTGAGCCCGCGGGTTCGAGACCTGCCGGGG